TGTGTCCAACCTGGCCTTGAACACTGCCAGGGATGGGGCAGCCACAGCTTCTCTGGGCAACCTGTGCCAGCGCCTCACCACCCGATGGGACAGGCTTATCCCTGTTCTGCAAACCAGAGACACCCTCCCTGCTGCTGACCTCGCTCTGCAGAGAGAGGGTCTGGGAGGGCATCACAGGGTGGCCATTGTCTTTAGCACCAGATGATATCTTCTTTTGTTCCAGGACCAGGGAAGAGAAAGGGTCCTTTGTGGGGTTCATGGTGGTGACTGGACCCTGGTCTCAGACACACAGAGCTAGAGGCTGTGGAGTCATGCAGCACCATGCACGTGTCAAGGGCTGGAGAAGGGAAGAGGAAACACCCTTCCCTCCATCACCACACCCTGCCCAAGTGTCCCTGGCCCCCGCTGATAAAGGCTCCCTGAGCCCTCCTCCAGGGGCAGAACAGGACCCCAGGGCAGGCTTAGCCCCAGGACCTAGGTTCATGTGAGCAATTCTTCATGCCCAAATCCAATTTACTCCATGTAATAGTGGTTGCTTCCCTGTAGGGGTCAGGGAACGTAGCACAGAACGAGTTACCTTCGTCTTACACTTCTGAAGTCCGCTGAAAACCTGGCGTGCCCAATAGACCATGGGTGCCAGCTCCAGACTGACGTTACCCCTCCACTCATACTCTGGCATCAGGAAGGTGGAACCATGGCCATATAAAACCAGTGTGCAGGGAGGAGAAATAGTTATATTAGCTTTGCAAAACCACACAAGGGCATGGTGCTAACGAGTTTGCCAAGACACCAAAACACCTGGTCAATTCTGAGTCCTGCTCAAGTCCTCCTTGAGCTATGCTGGTGGGTCCAAGAAACTCAGCTGAGCTAGCCCTTGCTTCTGCTATCTGGAGAAGCTGGAGGGCAATAATGCAGTCAAGTAGATGTACTGTCCCTGGAGACATTGAAAGCCAAGCTGGATGTGGTTCTGAGCAACCTGGTCTAGTTGAGTATGTCCTTGCTCATTGCAGGGTGGTTGGACTAGATGAGCTTTGAAGCTTTCCAACCCAAGCCATTCCATGATTCTGTAAGAACGGGGATGATGCCCAGCTGTGGGAGCAGTGGAGCTCACTTACTGCCCACCAGCAGACCCAAAGCTCAGTGTCTGGGTGTCAGGATGGAGTCACCACATGGTGCCTCAGGGTTGGTGGGCCTGTATGGGGGCCTCACACAATACTTAAAGACTTTGACACAGTTCTCCCCTGCATCTGCCACAAAGAGGTGGCCAAAGGAGGAGCAAGCCACACCGGCCGGCCTCCGCAGCCTCGTGGACACCAGGCAGACGGGAGCTCCATGCTCTGGGAACAAATGGACTGTCCGGAGCTGCTCATCTGCCACCAGGATGCTGCCAGCCACATCAATGCAGACACCGGCTGGGTTACCAAACTGGTGTCCGTATTTGCTGCTGAGGGAGTAGAGGAGCTTATAGCTGCTGGTGAAGACCTTGACGTCTCCACACTCCTCGCTGACCACCAAGCCTCCATTGGGCGCTGGACTGACATAACGAGGTCCCTGCAGGTTGGACACCGAGTGGATGTTGAGCGTCTTGAAGGCATGGTCCAGAGCAAAGCTGTGGACTTGGCTTTGTGCATAGTCTGCTACCAAAATCCTGCCCATGAGGTCTACTGCAATACCCCTGGGGGAACCAACCTTTCTGATCTTTATCCATTCCCCCTTGGAGAGGCTGGTGTGAGGGTTGAAAACCCAGATGGCTCCATTCATCATGTCAGCCACAGCCACCCTTCCCGTTCGAGTCACGGTCACATCTTCCGGCAAGAAAGTGCCACTTTCCTTCCCTGTTTGTTGGCAAGGCAGGGACTGCAGTGTTTGGCCTGTGCTGCTGAGGACATGGACCCAGGGAGCACTCTCAGCTGTGATGTAGATGGAGCCATCCAGGGAGCAGTGGATTCCACATACTCCCCCATAGTGGCTGCCAGTGGGGTTGGGGATCTTCCTGACCAGGTTATCCTGGCAATAGTGGAGGAGGTTCTTAATGTTGTCCAGATCTCCACACAGGCTTTTGGCCATATCCGCCAGCTGGTGGACATGGTGCTGTGTCACCATGCCCATGCCATGCTGGCTGCTCAGCAGTGGGCTGGCTGCCTGCAGTGTGGCACTTGACTTCAGCTGCAGGGTGTAGATGGTTTTCAGAAGCTTCTCCTTTTGCTGGCTGGTCTCCAGAGTGTTGTCCATGACAAATCCCTTGTCCCTGTTTGGGGGAAGCAGTAGGACCATTACTGTCCTGCCTGCTGTCATCTCTGGGGACATGGCCTAAGCTCAGGTGCCTGCTGTTTACTCAAGATCAAGATGTTGGTGCTAGACTGGATACACTCCAATGCTAAAGAGTCCAGATCATAGCCCTTACAGCTAATGATGTGCTCAGGATATAAAGACAAACAGGGACCATGGCACAAAACTGACAAAGAGCCAGCAAACTGGATCTGCAGCTGGAGGAACCAGCCAAAAAGGTCCATTGGCTTCAAGGACAGCTTGGCTGGTGCTAGATCTGGCCTGAGAATTTATGTGTAAAGGAGAGCCTTGTGTGAGCACACTGAATGGGATCCCCACCTCTCCAGTTCCTGAGATTAGTGGTTTCTCTCAGATCTTTAGCACTTCTTAGCCCTGTAAGCCTTATCTCTTCAGTCATGCTCTGTCCACCCTAACGCTTCAGACCATAGGATGACTATGCCTCCACCCCACGTGGGTCAGATGTGACATCTGGCTAGCATGTGTCTTTGTAAGGGCAGTCCCTCCCCATCCAAATAAACTTATTCCTGAAAAAGCCAACAACCTGTCAGAAAGAAGTTTTCACACAGTGTTTTCAGATGCGAGAGCCACCATGAGAACCACATTTTCTCTTTTGCTCACTCTCCCTCTGTTTTAAAGCCATAAGGAATGTCCTCCAGAAGGTGGAGATGACAGCCTGGCTCTGCTGTGTGCTCTCCAGGGCTGGCTGGAGCTGGTAAGAGAAATGTTAACAGAAATGTGGCCTTATTAAAGTTCCTGGAGAGGCAGAAGTTACCTTTGCTTTAAATGTGATTATAATTAATATCACAATGGACACACTTGATTGTTCTGAGTTGTTTGCCACTGCTCCACCTTTATCACCCTGTGTCGCATGATTGCCTGGTATCATGTGCTCTGCACTGCCTGCAAAAGTAACGCTTCCCAAACCACATCCGAAGGAAGCTGGGTTGAGGCATACTGGGTACAAATTGTCACCATTGCTAAAAACCATCCCCAAATACTTGCACAGCTATCAAACATGGGGATGAGTATGACTGGGGAGGAAATCCAATTTCTGCTGCTTTCGGGGCCTGGGAACAGCTCTTCCCCCTTCTCCAAAGTGGTTGTGCTTTGTGTCGCCAGCAGTGGAACCCTCGTCACCCCCATGATTGCTGGTCAGGGTCCTCCTTCAGAGCTGGACAGAGTTCAAATGCAAGACACTGGATTTTACAGATGGGGAAACTGAGTCAGCACAAGGGACCTAATGTGCCAGCCACCAGGAGTGTCCACCTCCTGCGTCCTGGCTGCTGGGCACCCAAAGCTGCCCTCAGCCCCATGGTGGTGTGTCCTGAGCCAGACCTGACCCCAAATTCATGGGTCTAAGCCCAGAAGGAGGGTCCCAGCACAGCTCAGGACAATGACCACATGCGTGACCAGGAGCCCAGCTCAACAGGTCTGTACCTCTGTCCTGACGTCCTGGGTGCTGCCTGTCCTCCCACCAGCTCCGTCCTGCTCCCCGCCGGGCTCAGGGCCGAGGGATGTTGTGTTGTTAGTGACGGACGATTGCCCTTGAGTCTGGGTAAACACAAAAGCTCCTTGTGCTGACAACCAGAAGCAGTGAGACGAGGGCTGATCTGTGCAGGTTTTATTCCCTGCTGGTCTCATGCCCAGAAAGAAGGTGCCTTTCCCCCAGGATCTGTCCATCTCCCACCTACCTGCTCCTGCCAGAGGGAAGAGAAGCCCCCAGGTGCCCATCTGCAGGGACAATTGGGGCTTTTATGTAGAGGCAAAGGGGCTGATTTGCTGCACATCACCCTTAGTGTGAGATGCTCCTGGAATGGGACAGGGACACTCACACCTTGATTCAGGGCTCCTGCCTTGTCCACTGCTTCTTGGCTGCCTCCCCATGTGCTCCCAGCCTGATTGTGTGCCTCAGTCTCCCTGCCTGCAAAAAGCAGACTGGTGCTTCTTGCCATCTGAGGCTTTGAGGGCTGGTGATGGAGAAGCTCTCAAAAAGGCAGATCACTGAGGCTCCTGGGCACAGCCTCCTCTTCATCTCCACACTGCTCAACCCTGGGTCCCAAGCTGGGCAAAGTCATGTTTGGAGTTGATGGTGGCATTTATCAGATCAGCTCAAAGAAGGTCAGGAGCAAAAGCAAAGTCATCCAGGACCAGCCTGCATGGGGCTGGTCAGATCCTGCCCTCCGTCCCTGCAGTGCCTGCTGACAGTGTTCAATCCACCCTTGCTCACAGCGAGCTCAAAGCAACACCTTAAACCTGGACAAGGCTTGAAGAAGTTTGTGTCTGTTCATTACTCAGATGGGCCAAAGGTAAATGAAGTTTGGATCAGACACCCCCACTTCTTGGGATGCTTGGAGGGGCTGTGTGTGCCTGGCCCTTTGGATGAAGGAAGCAGGTTGGGGTCTGTCTGGCTGCAGCGATGGGATCTGCCTCCGAAGCCCAGGGCTGGGTGTTCCTCTCTCAGTGTGTTTAGGGCCCTCCTGGTCCTAGATCAGTGTATCCCCAAAGCTCACAGCATCTGGGAGGCTGCTCCAGACCCATTACAAGCCAAAATTACAAAATTACCTTGACGTGACAAGTACGGGACCACTCCACCCCAGCCCCAGCAGGATGGAGGCAGCTTCAAAAACCATCTCCCAGGGCAACAGGCTCTGACCTTTTGTTTCACTGTTGTGTGCTCCATCACCAGAATAAACAAACACAGCCTGGCCCTGGGGCTCCTATTCACCTTTCCAGGACCGTGGCTCTGTCACAACCTGTTTGAAAGCCATCCCCGGTCCTCAAGAAATGCCTGTGTCATGGCATGGCCCAGGCACAGCCTATGCCCACGCCAGCACCGGGAGCTGCAGGGTTCAAGGATGAGGGCATAGACATGAACCAAG